GCCCCGCCCCTAGCGCGCTCCCGCCAGGCCACGCCCCACTGGAGCGGGGAGCGCGCCCACGCGAAAGGTGGGGGCCGTGCTGTCCCTCCGAGACAACCGGTTCGCGCCTCCTCTTTCTCCTAGGTTGTTTGCTGCAGCTGGTCTATTACTCCTGAGACTCGAGATCCCAGGACAAGGTGGTGGGAGCCTGAGGCTGGACATGGGCCCTTTCATTTCTGGGACAGGGCGAAGGAAGAGTGAGAAGGCGGAGGACTAGATCCTTCCTCGCTGAACACGCTGGCCCTTTCTCCCACGTGCCTGAGGGATCAGGTGGGCACAGAGGGCTGAGGGAGAAGCCCTTAGCTGGTACCGAGGACATAAAGCTTCCAGCTGAGGCTCCAGGCCTGTTTTTCTTGAAGGTGGAGTGAAGGTGCTCTGTCCCCAAGAATGTCAGTACTGCGTGCAAGAAGGACATTTGGCTGTCCAGGGCCCCAAGCAGGAGGGGCGCATCGAAGAACCAGCTGGAGCTTAGCAGGCTTTGCAAGACTGCCCACCTACAAAGGGCTCCTCACTTCCTCTGGCAGAGCCCTCCTGGTGCCACCACCGCTGTTCCCAGGCATTCTCTGTGGAGTGTTCCTAGTCCCATAGACGCTGACCCAGAGGGCCCAGGGCAGGCACCTCGTGTTCCAGCTGTGCCACAGCCATTGTTCTCTGGGGGCGCCCCCTCCCTACACTCAGAAAAAAGGCACACACACCCAGAGGCAGAAAACACAGAAACATTAGCTCTTGTCACACAGCCTGAGACACACACAGGTAAAGGTGCTTCCAGACAACTAGAGATCAGTAGAAACAAAGGCCCATAGACACACAGATGTAGCAGAACACACCAGTCCTACACACACAGTGACTCACACTGTAAACCTACATGCACCCTCGGACACACTATTCACACTTCTTTTCCTAGGAAGTGGGAATTCTGGGAAGGGTTCTGAACCCAGACCTAGTAGGTATTACCTCTTAGGGCTTTTCCTTTGGAGAGGCGCAGACTAAGAGTGACCAGGCAGAATCAGGCTTGACTGGGTCTCAGCACCCACACCAACCACCTGTGCCCCCAGAGGCAGGCATGACACATTTGCTACCATGCTGCACCAGAGAGGACACTCGTCACTCTCCATCTGCTTATCAGGACAGAGTCCTGGCCATAAGTGGGCCTTGGGTGCTGGGCTTGGGAGAAGGGTGGTGTCATCCAGAACAGGCTTTGCGCCTAGCTACTGCCAGGCAAGAGCAGGTTCTGCCCTCTCTGGGCTCCTCCCCACCCCAGGAGATCTCACCTCTCTTCTCAGGAGCCAGAAAATAAATTAGGCCCCTTGGGATAGGAGAGGGGGACTTTGCAAACAGCTTCCCTTGCCCCCAGACTCCTTATCCCCAGGGAGATTGGTTTCACCCAAATGATGCTCACCTGCCGACTTCAGGGACCACTAATACCAGGTCTGTCCCCTCCTACCCACACACCCTGCTCCCCAAAGCTTGCCTTATTAAGGCCCACAAT